TTAGACTACAGCTCATATTCTTTTCAGACATGCAGGCGGGCTACAACGCGCGCAACCTCAGGCATATGGCTTTAGTCTGGGAATGTTAGAAAGAAACACAGGTGTGGCATCACACAACACAAGCCCAGCAGCTTCAAGTAGAGGATCTGAGCGGCAAGCAGCGTGTGGGAGGATATAATCGCAAAGCAGGCCAGAAGAATCCACTGAATCCGGACGGTGTCACAGAAGAGACGATAGAGACCCACTCCTACAGCGCAGGGACTTCTCTAGGCTTCTGTAGGAAGCCACCTCGTGAACGGAGAAAAAAAGAGCAAAGATTCTCAGCTTTGTCTGGGGATATCATGACCTCCCTCCCTGGCCTTTCACCACCCTTCCACCTCCAGCTTTATGGTCTAAGTGGGCATGGCATAGCAGGCCTAGATGCGAAACTATCGGACTGCAGATTGGGAAACTCCTAAGCAAGGTAGCAACATCCGATCTCTCGTTTCGGAAGGGCTGTAGGGGGGGGCCAAAATCCTGCCCAAACAAGGGCTCGGGCTAGGGTCTCAGGTTAGGTCAGGGTTTTGGATTTAATTATGGCAAACTCTTAGCTGTAAAACCAGCATGCTTCTGACGTTGCTGCCCTCTCCTTTGGTTGACTCCATCGGCCAAGCATGGTGCATCTGAAAGCCATAGGCCACGAAATCAAGAGCAGGGACCTGTTGCGTCGAGGAGTTCAGGTTGTAGGATTCAGGGCAATAAAAGCCCAGGATAGGTCGAGCACTCCTTATATGAAGCCCTCAGACATCTGGGCCACTCCCGGCATGGCCCTCCCCATACATACACGGAGACCAGGGGGTGCAGGGGTTATTGGGGTTCAGAGTGTGAGGCTTGCAACAAGCGCGAGGCGCGACTCTACCCTCCACAAACCACAGATGCAATGAACCTCGACCTGGAAGCCCTCGTTTGGCTTAATTTCGGCGCTTTGCGAGGCTCAGCTGGGTAGAATTGGGCCCAATGTTTAGTTCTCTTTCTTTCTTTCATGTTTAGTTCTCTCTCTCCCTCTCCTGCCCTGATCGTTGCGCCCATCCCGTTTCGCGGTCGACCCTAAACCCTCAATCCAGATCCCCATGCGACGGCCACCTTTAGACACTCCTCGTGGTCGAAGGTCCGATGTAGCAAGGCGGACATGAAGTCGCTGTAGAGATACATGACCTGCAGTTTAGAGTTTTAAGTCTGAGGGTTGCAGCTTTGGTTCAGAGGCCTAGGCTTTGGACCCTTGGCACATACATACATAAATATATAAATATATGAGCCATAGTCTAAACTCCTTCAAACGGATTATATAGGGATTATACAGGAAACTACTGCAGGGGCTATTAAGGGGGATACTAGGAAAGTGAACTATAGCTCACATATGTATATATACATATATGTATATATACATACATACATACATACATACATACGTACGTACGTACGTACGTACGTACGTACGTACGTACACACATACATACACACATACCTACACACATACAGTGTGGAGTTTAGATGCACATGATATTTTAGCCTGGGGGTACATTGGACCGTGGTGTCTGAGGCTTGGATAAAATCAAAAACCTCAAGGTCGACGGCTTCGCAACCTTCAGTGGTTAAGGACCTGGGGGAGATAAGCCCTCAACCCTAACCCCAAGGATTTGGGTTTGGGGTTGGGGTTTGGAAGCCTAAACCCTATCAGGATTAAAAGGATGGGAGTACCTGAGTCAACATTAGCCCCAAACTGCTCTTGCATCGGGCAAACTTATATAAGATCTTATCAGGCAATGAGCCCAGGATCCTTTGAGCAAGCTGAATTTTGAGGGAAGGTTGGGTGAGATTGTTTTTGCACCGTATTCACTCCCGCCCTTCCACAATATAAGTATCCAAGATAAGTGAAGGTTGGGCGGGGATTCCCAAAATTTGGAGTACCCTACTGGAGGTTCCCAGCAAAAGGATTATAGTATGTTGAGGGTCCATATTGGGGTCCCCATACCCCTGCATCAAGTACGGGTACCCGTGCATACACTAGGGGCCGTTTGACACTTTGACATGAGGCGGAACATAAACTATTGTGCTAAGGGCCTTATGCTTGGTCTTCCGTGCTGATTGCTCCCATGCATAGAAGGTCATGTCAGGGATATCCCGAAACTCAGCTGTGACTGGATTGAAAGAGGACGTCCAGCTGAGGATTTTGCTTCGTTTCGCATGTCGGATGTAGTAGCATTGCGCGGCGTGCACGTAACAAAGTGGGTACCACTGGGGGGCCCAGAGCTTTGGGGGCTTGAAGCTCAAGGGATGCAGATGAGATTTCCTGGTTTGGCATTGGGCCATAGTACCAGCTGTCTGGGTTGCTGTTAAGGAACTTAAATTAAGTTACCATAATGGGTATATATAGTAAATAATAGGGTTTTCCCAATATAGTAACTTAATTTAAGTTCCTTAACAGCAACCCCGCTGTACCCCTCAAACCCCCAGCTTTCCAAAGCTATAACTTGGGAGCAAGTGGACAGCATGCCCGGGCTAGAGGCGAAGTTCGCAAGCGGGAGAGAAGGATCCTCAGAAAAGTGGAAGGTTGAGATGATTCTTAGGACTCCTTACTACTATCATCATTGCCCTGATATTGTTTTGACTATTACTATGTTTCCTTCAGGATCTTATGAGCCTGGACCCCTGATGCCCCAGTTCTGCCCCAGGGGCAAGTACCAACTTCCAGTCGGGTATCCACATGGGCTCAAGCAGAAGCGTCCAGAGCCCAAGACCAAAGAAGAGGATGTGATGCAGCAGTTGCCACCATGTAGTGGGCACCTCCAGGGCAAGCTTATGGCTCTAGGGTGAACTTAACATCCAGAAAAAGCCTCAAACACAATCAGACTGAGAGGAATGAGAATCATGGCAATCAGAACGACAAGAAAAATTGTACTGGGTTAGTGCTGACTGATGGGCCACACATTCCACAAACCAAGCCCCCGAAAGGGTTCTCTTCAAGGAGATTTTGGCTCTGCCTTGCCTTCGGAGGCGGCGGGAATGCCTCATGATTCTCGAGGACCTTGCCCCTCTCAGGCTTTAGTCGCACCAGCTTCGGGGCTTCTTGGAGGACAGCCTTTAAAGCCCTCTGTGACCTGTAGCCCTGGCAGACACCCAGGGCCACTGCTCCGCACAGGAGCTCAGACACCTTGCCGTCCCCAAACTTCTTCGCTCGGACTGTGTGTGGAGTGGGATGGCAGGGCTGGCTTCTCCCAGGCTGCAGTGCTCTTGTAGCTTGCCTGGCTTGCGTGGTGTAGGCGGGAGTCAGCATGAGGCCCCCGACGCTGGCTACTGAGCCACCTGAGAAGCTCCGGCATACACCCAGGGCTTTGAGAGCTTATCTTCGCGAGTGCGCGCACACTGGTATCCTGTCTTCACTCCCTGCGCCCCTCTTCTTCCAAGTTCGTCCTGTGGTGTGTGTTAGCCCGCAGCCTTCAACTTCTGAAGCTACGCGTGCCCAACAAGCAGGAGCATTGCTACTGCTGATGAACAAAAGCCTGCAAAACCCAAAGTACAGTGCCCTACCGTACTTCCTAAAATCTAGATACGAGCGAGCATGCAGATGTCTGCCCATCTGCCGTAGGAGGGATCTTCAGGTCACTGGGGCTCATGCGCTTATGGCTAAGGGACTGGGCTACATAATGGTGGTAAACATTGCCAGGGCACATGCTTGTATTGTGAGGCCGCTGAAGCTGGGTCATGAGTTTAAAAGGATGACCTGAGATATCTGAGGGTAAGACTTAGGGTTCAGAGCTTCATGCTGGTAGCAAGTTCCGTCAAGGCCATTCTGGTATGATGTTAATGTGCGGTCAAACTCATCTCTTGGCTTTGTATGCCTTACTACTGGAGGGTCCGTCAAGGCTGTTTTCTACATTTTTATACAATGCCACAGCAATGGAAGACCACCCATTTTTTCACAGCGGTCTGAAGATTTACTTCTAGCAATAGTAAACCCGAAACCCTGAATAGTACTTTCCATTTTGTTTCCCCTTATTGCTATATAACTCCAGACGTTCCATATATAACACCATTAAAACCTTCGATAGCCCTATCCTGGTGTGTACCGGTTCTAAACGGATCTTAGCCTTGATCCTGTCAAAGTGGGGGGCCAGATGCTAATGCGGGACCAGAGTTCAAATCACGAACTTCCTGCTTCAAGCAATATCTGCTTTGGGCGGTGCCTACAGCTCTAGGTATAACCCGGCCACTAGATCTATAGATGATGCTTCAGCTTGAAATCCTAAACCTCAAGAACCCTAAACCCTAAACCGCGTGGCTCAAACTCCCAAGCCTTAAGCGCCCACAACATGCAGCTTTCTAGCCTATAACTTAACCCCAAAGCCTAAACCCTTAAGGTTGAGAGTTCCTAAAGGCCCTAAATCCCAAACCCTAAAACCTGAACACTAAACCCTAAATCAAACCCTGAAAAACCTAAACCCCAAAACCACGTGACTTTTTTACTTCTTCATGCCTGCCGAAGATGACCTGCCCAAGATCACACCTTTGGTGGAACTACAAACGCCTGCAGCCCACAGACGGTCCGGAGACTACCCCAAAGAATTATACAGGGATTATGTTGGGGGTATAGGGATTATATAAAGGTTGTATAGATGTTATAGAAGGAGAGTGTTCCTAGAGATGCTGGAAAAGTAGATGGGAACTACTCTTCCATGTTTGGGGTTTAGGATACAATAACAGAGAATCAAGTGGACAGAAAATCAGCAAAAGAGCGGGAACCACTGCATTACTCAGGGTTGGGTAGGGTTTAGGGTTTGTATGGATGGCCCTGAATTGCATGTATGTGTTTGTATGTATAGATACATATATATGTAGACATATATAAGATATGCACTTACACATGCCTTGTAGCACCCCTAACGCTTCTAGATCAAGGCCCTTGCAGAAGGCTACCGGCAGCTCGGAAAATTTCAGGTAACTCACACAAGCAACCTGAATGATGTTCACTGAGAAGAGCACTGGACAAACCCTAAACCCTAAATAGCAGCTTCCATTTTCTTTTCCATTATCCCATATAACCCCAATAACAATCCCCTTTATAAAAGGTACCCCTAATTTTGTGAATAATGCCCTGTGGAGCCCTGACATTTCTTCGGGAGGTCGCTCAAATCTGCATCAAACCCCACGTAAGCGACGCAAAAGTGCGGTGCTTCTGTTGCTGGGGGAAAAAGGCACCCCAAATGTTTGCACCCTACGTGGGTCCTGAGGGAAGACCAGGTGCTTTTCTCGAAAAAACAACCGTACCAATAATCATGGTAGAAATGCAAAACGCTGAGTGATGATGACACTACTCACGAAATCGTCGGTTATAGCAGTCATTGCATACCGGGACGAACAGTAGATGACGGAAACCACGACGATGACGAAGACAACCATCGCCGCCGTCATTGTTGTCAACGCAAAGAAAAACACAGGAACATTGACCGCACATGGATGGTGACGGTACTGATCATAGTCAACAACAAGCGCTGCTATGGCCGCCAACAATGGCCAGAACCATGAGCGGAAGCATAGCAGCTACGATTACAAAAGCAGCGCTAGAACGACAACGAAGCCTAGAACGACAACGAAGCTACATCAGCAAAGATGGAGATGGCCACAACGGTGCCGGCAGCAGCAACGGCAGCAGCAACAGCAGCAGCAGCAGAACCTTCAGCAGCGGCAGCATAGCGGCGCCGGCACGCTACTTTTCAACTTTTTAAAGACAAGTGCTAGTATTGCCAATATTGCCAGCACTACTGGCACTCCTAGCACTGCCAATAATTACTGCTAAAACAACCTGTACTAACAGCAAAGAAACTACTCACAACTGTACTTCATGGTGGTACGAAGTGTGGGGCTCTTCTCAGTTGAGGCTCGCCGAGCGTCACCTGACTTTTGGTCATCACGTGGACATTTCCGTGAAGCTACGCTGCCTCTGGGCTTTTGGCCTAGATCTCCATTCTTTGCTCTTCAAGTGTAGGACGCCTTGGGGTTCTTCTCTTGGCACATGCTGAAGTCTGGTATCTAAATGCCAACGCAAGTAGTAGAGTCCCGAGGATAAGAACTACAGGATGCGGACCAGAATTCTGGCTACACAGGAAATCCTCAAATTTGTGGTGTACCTCCGTTTCGGAAACTACCACGTCGTGCTTGTATGCCGTCCTCACTTCTGGGGGTACGGTGCGGTGTGTCTCTCGCAGTTTTGAAACGCTTTCCGGGAGCTTCTGGACTTCTATTAGGGTTTAGGGTTTAGGGCTTAGGGTTTAGGGTTCAGGGCTTAGGGTTTAGGGCTTAGGTTTAGGATTCAGGGTCTTCAGGCATGTAGGATTTTAGTCCCACACCCTAAACCTTGCAACCCAACTGCCCTAAAACTTTTGGGATGTCAGTCTTTGTCGAAGGCGCGAGGTTTCAGGTAATGAGAACCATCCCTGTGCTAAAACAATCTGAAAACATTGGATAAGGGTTTAGGATTGAGGCTTTAGGGGGGTTCGCGATGAAAAGAAGACTACCTAAACTCGCAAATACCTCCGGCTCTTACCCCTAAACTAGTCCGGGGATTTTGGTGAAGTTCCTAGAACTATTATTTGCCTACAAAAATGTTCTTATGACATGGGTCCTAGAGCAGGGTCCTTTTTGGGCCAGGGGCCTCATGTTTGAGGTGTATGGTTCCCTTTCAGGCGTTAGGCAGTGACCATCGGGTTTAGGATAGGAGCACCTCAAGCTCACCAATTACTATATACCAATAATATGGTAACCTAGGTTTCGGGCTGAGGGTTTCTAAGTTCCTTAACAACAACCCAACGCCATATTAAGGGCTACACTTTCCTAACATGCTCCCGAACCAGGCTGAGAGCAACCGCGCCCCAACCAGCTGAGCGCATGCGTGCTTTCCGTAATGCCAAGAGGGCTCACCTTAGCTGGACATGGGTTTGGGGTTCAAGGTTTAAGGTTTGGGGATTGGGTTAAAGCAGTTGTGGGTTCTTGGTTTAGGGCTGAGGGTGTAAAAGTCTACGACAGCTACAAAGGGATGTGAAAATCATCTGCAGGAGCGAAACTAGGCATGTTTCCATATACCCTTGCAGAGCCCCTACCTTTATCCGCATCTAGACCCTACATCCTAAGCCCTGAAACCTAAACCCTAACCCCAATCTGCTTATCTCGGATCTCTGAACAAGGTAGGTTTGGTATTACTGGTCTGGCCAACAGGACAACGCACAATTACCAAGATCGAATCATACAAGTCTACCTCACATAATGCCTAAACCCTAAACCCTACGTGATAACCCTTTTTTGCTGCTCTAAAACCCATGTAGCCAGATAAGCCAGACAAAAACCCTCATATCAAGCAGGCAGCCTACGAGAAGGACGACAGTCCTGTACAGTACAGGTGCTCGGGGCCTACCTAAACCCCAAAAGTATGTAAAATCATGGCCCTAAATCCATAATAACAAACATGAAGGCCATTATTTCGCATGCTTTTGGGGTCCAGGTAGGGATCTGGTATACCGGCCTAGGCTGAAGTATGGAATCGAGGTTTAGGGTTTATGGATCCTTCAGCCTGATAAAGACGAAGATCACTGTAAGGATTACGACAGCAAAGCTCAAGGTCGGAAAGGGGTGTTTCCCTAAGTTAGGGGTACCTTTTCGGGAGTCCCCAGAACAAGGACTGCAGTATTTTGGGGTCTATCTTGGGGTCCTCTATTTAGGGAAATTACCAAATGGTTAGAGGGGACTTTCGAAGTATCTGAGGTACGCGTTGCCCCGTTGCACGCGCTAGCCATGCTAGGACCATGACATAAAACCAGAACTTGACCTGGGTTGAAACCGTGGAGGACACAGCGAAGCAGCCCTGGCAAAGCATTCTAAAAATGTTCATATTATAGGGAAATTTGAAGTGTCCCTACTACGAACTTCATAGTCGGGGGACCGCAATATAGACTCCAAAATGCTATAGTCCTTATGATGGGGACTCTCAAAAAGGTACCCCTAATATAGGCAAACCCCCCCTTTACCCACATACTGTTTGCAACTCAAGCCGAACTAAGATGTTCCTTCGCGCTTTAGAATGGCTCTGGTCTGCGGGGGTGCCATGCTGACCTGAGCAAACATTCAACCCCAGAAAAACCCGTCCTTGTAGGGCTGCCTTTACTGTTTGATGCTTGCCTAAGGGAAATCATGATGGTGAGTACGGTTTTTTCAGTTTGGACAGAACCTCATGCATCAAGTTCACATCTCAGAAAACCTCCTCAACCATGTCGTCTTCGCAGATCT